AAAAAAAAACCCAGGCTAGACATAGTGGTACATGTCTGTAATATCAGCACTGAGGAAGCTGAGGCAGGAGGATTGTCAGAGTTCAAGCCCAGCCTGAATTACATAGTGAGACCCCATCTCCAAACAAACAAACAAATAAGAACCCAAACAATTTACAGGTCTGCATTAGGGAAGAAAAACTGAACTGACTGGCTAATAAAGAGTTCAAAACTTCAATGTATGGTGGAGCACATTTATGATCCCAGATACTCAAGAGGCTGAAGCAGGAGGATCATCACAAGTCTGAGGCCAGCCTGGACTATATAGTGAGTTCAAGGCCAGTCTAAACTACATAGGAGACCCTGTCTCAAAATAAAATATGATAAAATAAAAAGACCAAGCCGGGGATGTAGCTCACTGGTGCAGTGCCTGCCTGGCAAGCACAAAGCCCGGAGTTCGATTCTTGGTACCAAAAAAAAAAGAAAAGAAAAGAAAGGTGGAATATAGTGGTGCACACCTGTAATCCCAGCACTTGGGAGGCTGAGGCAGGAGGATCACTGTGAGTTCAAGGCCAGCCTGGACTACCTAGGGAGAGCCTGTCTCAAAAAAACAAAACAAAAAAGGGCTGGGGATATAATTTAGTACCAGATCACTTGTCTATCATCTGTGAGGCCCTGGGTTCAAACAACAGTACTACCAAAAAAATTTTTTTTTAAATCCATTCTGAAATGTCAGATACTCATATCATAAACATATGACAAGCCGGGCATGGTGATGCACGCCTGTAATCCCAGCACTCAGGAGGCTGAGGCAGGAGGATCGCTGTGAGTTCGAGACCAGCCTGGGCTACATAGTGAGTTCCAGGTCAGTCTCAACTACATAGTGAGACCCTGTCTCAAAAAAACAAAATAAATAAATAAGTAAATAGACATATGACAAAAAATATATAAGACATAAGATGAAGCCATGTGTTGTATCGCATACCTATAATTCCTGCATTTTTTTTTTTTTTTTTTTTTTTTAGTA